CTGGGGCTTCCGTGTGAGAGCCAGCTGGGCTGAGGGAATGCTTATTAAGTCTCGTCTCAGAGATACATACGAGGGGGATTTTGCTGAAGGCCTGAAGCGGAAAACTGAGGAAAGCCTGGAGCTTCAGAAAGAGCTGCTAGATCATAGCCTACTTGCCAGTTTCCATCAGAATGTTTTAATTTCTGAAATTTTACTTGTCTGAGATCATCTCTCTCACCCTATTTTAATAATCTCCAGGTCCCTGGGATTTCATGTTATGGATTGAGAATAGCCCACCTGTGATAGGTTAGATTTATGCTAATTTCCTCTTTCCTTTTCATATATTTTAATAGATAAAGTAGTGGAATCTACTACTTGTCTTGGTTCTGCCATTTACTGTGACATGTTCCAACAGGACTTGTCAATGAGCTATAGGTGAAAATGCAGCCCCTGAGACAAGATTTAGTCTCACCAGCAGCAAGCTGACACAACTGGTATGCCATTTACACAAGACAAAATAGTTCAACTTCAAAGTTCTATGAGAATTCAAATCTGATACCTGCTTTCTAGTCAGTTCTGGAAGACTTAGAAATGAAGTGATGATAAAAGAATAGAAAAAGAAGCTTTTTGCATTTTGCCAGGGAATTATTAACTCCTAAAACCAAATTAGCATAGCTGAAACTCTTCCCAGATTTATTCTGTGAAATGAAAATAACATTGTTGACTTTCCCAGAGAAGCTCTAACTTTCCATTTTCACTTGTTGTAGTAAAATAAATCTCTCCTGGTATGGATCAAGAAGCAGTAAGCAAAAAAAATACAGTCTTTGGTAAATATTTACATTGCCAGTATCTCTTAGTTCTGTGGTCTGATTAAACTGAGAGATGCTAATAGGGAATACAGTATTTTATGGATAGAAACTCCTTCTCTGTCTAATATATTAGATGTGGAATGAAGTGTCTAAGGTAATGTTCTCAAGAAAAAGGCATCATACATTGCATGCTCGTATTGTGTCAAATCACAGTTTGCAAAAGATAATTAGACTCAAGTTTGAACTTTTAACATATTGGGTCATAATATTGATTATTTTCCAATTTTTAAAGAATACCTTATATATATAAATCTTAAAAGAAGAAGAAAGAAAACCAAATAAAACAAAATCTCTCTTTCCCAGGTTATTGACTGGGCAAGTTTTTATTTCCTTCCTGACATTCCTTACGGCCTCTGCTAACTGTTGCTACACTCCTCTCTCTCTTTAAGATTCATGGTAAGGGGCGCCTGGGTGCACCATCTGAACATTCACAAATGGAAGTGTACATATACTTCTCATTGAGGTTTTGCAGGGATAAACGGTATAAGCATGTAGAGGGCTTAGCATAGTAAGTGCTCAGTGAAGATAAGCCCCTAGTATTTAAATATTTGTATTGTTATTTCTACTGGGAAACAATAAATAGGCTTGTCTTCTTTCACCTCTCAGTTATGAAACGTGTACTTACTGAGGAAAAGACAGATGTAACATTTTTCTTTAGATTATGATGAGTTAATGCCAAATATAGGCATAAAAACTGAAAATAAATCCAGTTGTTTTCAAACATCTTGTAGACAAAGTACGAGCATTTTATAGCTTTTCTTTTTACTTGGCATGTTCCTTTCGTGTGTGTGTGTGTGTGTGTGTGCGTGTGTGTGAAACCAACTCATTTTTATGCATTTGCCCTTTCTTGGGTACCTCTAGGAGCTGTGCGTGTGTCATAAACTTAGTACATGTTATTTCTAATCCTTTTTAACCATCTAGAGAAATAAAATTCATTAGCTCTATTTTATACTTTAGAAAACTAAAGCTCAAAGGTGTAATATGACTTATCTAACTTCAGTCAGCCAGTAATCATTAGAGCTAGGCAATTGAAACCTCTCTTCCTTCTGAGTTGGCATTCTCTCCCACTACGTATTTTATGACTTGAGCACTAATGGCCTAAGAAGAGGACTGGTTGATAAATTCACTGAGATTCAGCATTGTCAATGCTAAGGATCTCCGTATCCAAACTTACTACTGACAGTGTATTTCATTTTCACAAATAAGAATATTTTCAGGAGTTACAATGTTTATTCACGTACGTTATAATACACAAATATATACATTCTAAAATACCTGATTACACACAACATAAGGTAAGGATCTTTTGTACACTAATAAGTGAGCCATATTGGTGAAGTTGGTGATTGCAAAGGATATGTCTGGGCATAATAGACACTGTTGTACTATCTTGTTTGTTTTGGTAGTCCTATTAGAAATGGAAGAAGAGTAGTTCTTTCAGAAAAACCTTTGTGGCAAGGACAGTATCCCCACATTTAACATGGTTCTTGAGGAAAATATTTCCTGCTGTTCAGACAGATGTAAAAGGTCAGTGAAACACAATTGCCGCAGTTGATTCTGAATGTTGACCTCAGAATGCATGCTCTGAAGGAATGCTAACTACTCCGCCCATAATGCTTTTGCTTATTCGGATACCATTAAAAGCTCCACTTGACAAGCATAATGATGAACTGCCCTTTTCCCGTCAAGCAAAACGTTTGCATGCTAGACAGCTCTGTTAAGTTGGGGATTTATTTCTCTTCCAAGGATCAATTTTTCATCTTGTTCTGCAAACCCATGAAGTTGCTTAAAATTCACACAACTTACTGCCGATAAACCCCCTCTCCCCACCCCTGAGATTGGGCCTTGAGCGGTACAGGGTGTAATGATCCATCTGTCTTATAAACATAAAACCTCTTTGGTCCTCCAAAGGATGAATTTCCTGTCTGTGTTCTAGTACATCTGATTCAACTGAATGAATGGGTTTATGCTTTATTATCCACCTCATCTTATTTTATAAAAAAATAAATAAATAAATTTAGATGACTGAAATGTGAACAAACAACTCTGACCTTAACTTAAAGGTTCACTGTTGGATATTATTTTCTCCCTGACTTATTAACAGCTCTCTTGTGAGTCTTTATTTCAATTATTTCATGCAAGACAAAACAAAACAAATGTATTTCGCAGGTAAATAGATATTTTTCAAAATTGGGGGCATATTCTCTTTCTCATTGCTTTTGTTGCTTCCTTATAGCCTTGCAGATATTTTGCAATAAACTAGTATGTTCTTCCAAAACGAATAAAAATGAGATAGTTTTGTCAGAAAACAGGAAACCACTGTAGATTATAATTTATGACCATCAAAGGACAAACCTTCCCAGAGCAAAACTACCTGAATCACTTTAAACTTCACAAGTGTCATCGTTTTGGCACTTAAAGGTATTTTTTACTTTCAAGAGTGCCACTTAACATGTAAATGCACCTGGAGATAGAAACTTAAACCTTATTGGTCAACATGCCGATTATCGATTAGTGGGCAGCTGTAGGAGGTAAGCTGAAATACGTTTCTCGCCAAATCAGAAATGAGCCTGGCTATGAAAACATTCTTCAAGAAGTATTGCTGACGAGGCTTTGATCTCTCTGGACTCAGAATCTTGATTTTAATAGTGAGAAAGGGATCATCTTAGTGGAAAATATCTAGAATAGGATCTTAAAGTGTTGTTAAGTTTCAGATTGTATGACGTGTTACATATAAAATGACATCTAACCACATTAGTATCACTTAGGGTCCCAGCAGGAAATAGGTGGCATGCTCAAAGAGGTAACTGAAGATAATATAATGCAGGGACTAAAGGTAGGTTTAAGTGAACCACCAAATGATAATGAAGCACCCGGAGATAAAAAGCAGGAAGGTATTATATTACTGTTAGGCCTGAAGAGGCAAGAAGATGGTACATGTTAATTGGAATCTCGCAAGAGTTAAGGCAAGGGAGAGCGGCAGAAAGACAGGAGCCGAGACTCTCTAGATAGAGGAATGGAGCCTTTGCCAAACCATGACCCAGCACATTCAGTAGGGAGAACATCTGTCTATCTGATCTCTCATTCCTCTTGCTCTTTGAGCGCTTCTTGGGGCTTACTGTTGACCAAATCCAGCCAGGAGCAGCTTGCAGGGAGCTCAGCCAGTGCTGTCTCTAGAGGCCGGTCCCCCACTGGCACGATGTAGCCCCGAGGAGGGGGAGAAGGAACCTGGAAGGGCAGAGGGAGAATAATAGGCATGACATTTTACCATAATCTGAATTATACGTGATATAAACCTCCAGTTATTCCTCACTAAGGAGCTGGTGGGGGCTCTGCCGTTATTCTACTCCTCTAAATTTCTCTTTTCCAGGTTCTGAAAGTTCTCTTTTAGGTTTTTATCCAGTTTTTTGTTCCACGTCATTCTGGGCAAGAATATGATACAATCGTTACTGCGGGGATGTTTTTATTATTTGCAAAATCATCTTTTTTTTCTTTCTTTTCTGCTAAACTTTGCTTCCTACCGAGACTTCAATTGTTGATTTCAATAAAGGATTTTTCTCTTTGACGTAATTCTTAATATCCTGGCTGCCTAACTTCCCCATTATGCTGGGACGGCTTTCATTAGTTCATTTATCTGTACCACTCTCTCCTTCAATTGTCCTGCCCTACATCTCCTTCTTACAGTCCGTGTTCAACCCACCTCCACAGTGGAAAAGCTTTTAACATTTTTTGAATGTAAGCGGTCACTCTCTGACTGGGGTCAAACTTCACAGTGTGACAATTATTTTTAATGTAAACTCAATTATTTTCACATGTCTGCCCTCATTCTTCTCTATTCTTTATTTCTTTTATTCCAGTTCCTTTACTATAGATTTACTTTCCTTTTCCATTCACTTACAGTGCTATGAATTAAATGTTGACATAATGGTGCATAATACATTGTGTGTGTGAAAGGTGTCAGAAGGGTTTAAGGTGGTCTTCTTGGTCAACAGATGGATTAAAAAACCAGGGCTGATTTTATACTTTGCAGATCTATTTACCTCCAAAATAAACATTTCTCAGAGATGGTGGCATGGGTTTGTTTTGTTTTGTTTTGTTTTTTTTACAAGTTATATGATTCTAACTCTTTCTTTCTTTTTTCACTCCACTCAGATCCGAAGCCAGAGCAAAGCCTCTGGGTCTGGGCTCTGTGAGGGGGATGAAGTGGTTTCTATCAATGGCAACCCTTGTGCAGACCTCACCTACCCCCAAGTCATCAAGCTCATGGAGAGCATAACGGACTCTCTCCAAATGCTTATCAAAAGGTACAAAAGATTTTTGGGAATATTGATTTTCTCTTGAAGTTAGATGGCAATGACTATAGCTTTTACTAAATATATAATTTGTCATTTATGGGGAAATTGGGGTTGCTCTGTAGAAGGGTAATATAGTTAAACAGAAGTACCACCATATTTGAAAAATGGCAATTAATTTTCTGCTTAATTGAGAATTAACTTGAAAATTTTTGTGTCACGAACTTTGTTGAAAATCTTAGGTATTTTAGACTAGCTCCTTAGAAAGCTCAGTATGTTGAACATAATTTAATACTTCTAGGTCAAGATTTTGTGGTGGGTCAGGATCACTACATTATAATTCCAGATTCACCAATGAATTAAAAGTGTTTAACTTAACTTTAGAGAACAAACTAGTTACCAGTGGGGTGGTGGCGGGGGTTGGTGGAGGGGGAGATAGGAGATGGGACTTAAGAAGGGTACTTGTCATGATGAGCACTGGGTGTGTATGGAAGTGTTGAATCACTATTTTGTACACCTGAAACTAATATTACACTGTATGTTAACTATACTGGAATTAAAATTTAAAAAAAGAACAGCAATCAATTCCATTAAAAAATGTTTAAGTGTTAAACTGTTACACTGTACAACAATTTTTTATAGAAAGAGAGTGCCTAGGAGAAGGAAAAGAACAACAAAAACCCCTAAAACAGCTCGATTTCTGCTTGTCAGGACCTGTAGCAAAACCATCTGGGTATGGACAAAAGCAGATGGTTAGAATAAAGGTTTTGGACTGCTAATGGAAATCACTTCTTAATTTGATCTCCCCAAATACCACCCTCCCTACCCTAATTGCTTAAAAATGCAGTAGTAAACTTTAAACATTAAGACAAAGAAAACAACAAGGGCAATCACAAAAAAGCGACAGCTTCAACATTTTTACAGTCCTGTGCAAATCGCAGGACCGTGTACAAATCCCTACTGACTTTGCAAGTGAGGCTCTGACCATGCACTGTAATGTCTCCAGAAAGGAAAATTCTGGCTTCCTGGAGAGCAGCCTTCAGGAAGATGCCAGAGGACAATCTCACACAGAATTGAAAGCTCTCCAGGTTTTGTCTTAACTCTGCAGAAACACGACGTGCGGCATTACCCCTCTGATAATCATTCACTAGTGATTCTATCTCACACATGAACTTGGTAGGGCCATAATCTTGTGAAAATAAAAGAAATGTAGCACTATTCTTAGACTCTCCCATCTAAATATTTACCCAGCAAGCCCAATGTCTAAGCCTTTAGGATCCTACTTAATTATAAAGCTGCCCTTTGCTTTTAAAAGAAAACTAAACTTTTAAAAAGAAAACTAATTGCGTCTTGCCAAGGGTGGACACAGCGTTTGCCATTATCACCCATAAATCTCTGAGGTATTTGAAAACTTCCACCTTCGTTAAAGGTTTAATCACATCCCAAATAAGGGGAAAACCTTTTCTAACTTGTTCCCTTTTTAGTGTCTTTACTCTTTTAATGAGGCCAGTTTCTTTGGAACATATTTGTGGTCTGGGACATTCCCTGCTGGTTCTTGTTTTGATTACAATGGCTATCACTGGGAAAATCCGTGGTGATTTAAAGCTGAGCCTTAGGTACATATTTACTTCCAGAAACAAATGAACTAGGTCTCTGCTACTTTTAATAACTGGAATTATGATGATGATTATTTTCTCTTAAGTATTTTGACTTCGGCAAAATAAATAGTTGATGAGATTCGAATGGAATCTCAAATGAAAATGAGCCCAAAGGCAATCATGATGATGATCATCATCATCTTCATCATCATCATCACCACCACCACTGTTCTTGGTATCTGAACATTGTCCCTATGTAGACTGAAAGGAAATGAGCATTTTAAGGACAAATCTTTAGTCTGTAGTGCTCTTATGATTTGTATTCATGTATATCCATTTTGCTTCTGCTACCAGTAAATGTTAACATTTATATGATCTATTTGCCTGTATTACACTCTGTAAGACTGGAATAAATTCAAATGACTCTCTTCTCAGCTTCATAATTGATTGCTAACATAATTCAAAGTGATTTAATCTACTTCCATCCGAGGCCCTCCTAAATTAAAACTCTCTGACCTTTTGGTACCATCAAATTTAGTTGCATAGAGTGTATTAATCATTTCCTATACAAGAAAGATCTAATTTGCTATCATCAGGTTTTTAAAATGCTATGTTATAACTTTTTTTAATTACCAGGAAGCTTTACAGATTACTTCCTTAGAGAAAGCCGCAATTCATTTGACTGTTAGTTTTTTATTGTTTTTGTTTAGTTTTGTTTACTAAATGCAGTCAAAAGCAAAGTTAGGAGCAATGATTTTGAACATCAGTCAGAAATTCCATCAGACAGATTCTAAGGTATATTCCTTTGGGTAGCCCCTTGAGGAGGGGTTCACTCCCTTCAAATGATGATCTGGCATTAATTAGGGGGCATTTTGAGGGAGGAGGAAAGGGGCAGAGATGGACACTGCTGCTTTTTTAAAAAAACTTAACAAATGTTAGACATGAAGGCATCTCCTACAGCTGTTCTGTGAGTGATGCTTCTCTTCTAAAAGCATTTCAAGTTTAAATTAGAGTTTTAGCAAGAAGTTGTTTGACTCTTAAACTGTCATTGCTTCTTGCAAACCCAGATTCGCAAAACCAGCTGGGAATGGTTAAGGCCAAAAGCAAAGGATGGTGGTGAACAGAGCTGGGCTTCTTAGCTGAGAGATAAAGGAACAGTTTGACTTCAGAGATCCTATCAGGAAACGCTCTGAGAGACAGGTTCAAATGGGAGAAGGGGAGACATCTCTGATTATAAATACTCCATGACTCAATGGTTCATTGCAGCATGGAAAGGATTTCTCTTTACACAAGAGTACTGGGCTGGGGTCCACTTATTACAAAACACATGCTCTCTGGAGCTTGAAAAACAGCTTCTATTTCATTCCTTTCAAGAAAGCACAGCCTCTAAAAGGATTACTTGAATTATCTGTATATTAATATTACTATGAAGCTGCTGAATATGTTTACGTGACATTACAATGTTCAGACCTAAACTTAGAGTCAGAAAGTAAGACACTGAAATGCTTTGTCATATTAGAATGAACGTGGTTGTTTGAAAACACCCAAATAATTTCAGATAAAGTTTGGACATCCGTGTAGCTATAATCTGTGCTTTTAAAAAATCAAAGCTGAGTTTAGGATGGATTTAGGTTCCATAATCTTTTGTATGTATTTTTGCTTTGCTTTAAAGAAAAGTGTATTTGGAAGACCCTTAAATAATAATATAAACATGTTGCCAACTTCTGCTCTCAAATATGTTGCAGTTGACATTTAAGAGGAAATATTTTGACGGTATCATGTATCATGAAAGTGTCAGAAAGTTCTTTGGCAGGTGTAACACTCTGATTTAACCTTCTGGACTGCTTTTTCTGTGTGCAGACCATCCAGTGGAGTAAATGAGACTTCCATCTCTGAAACTGAAAACAACCCCCCCGAGCATCTCACCCATGAGGGGCGCGTGGAAAGTACCACCCTGCAGATTCGACCAGCCGCAAAGAGCCAGCACAGAGAGTTGTACGTTGCCTCAGTCAGGAGTGGGGCTCCTCTAGCTGAGGACCAAGGGAGTGGTCCTGGTTTTTCTGGGAGCATAAAAGAAGAAACAGGCCTGAGCTACCATGTGGCTCCCCCTATGCCTGACTCCCAAGCAGGACGCTTAGCAGAGGAGATTATCTTAAGGGAGAAGGCAGAAGTTGGGCAGCCAGGCTCTGTGGTTGAGCTACAACTGTCCCTTTCACAAGAGAGACACAAGGTCACGAATGTCCCTGTGGTGGCTCTCGTGGGAGCTGAAAAATCCAAGTCTCCTGACCCAGATCCTCCCCATGTACACCACAGCGGGATCGTCCACATAAATTCAGTCCCCACGAAGGAGAAAGGGGAGCCTTCTCTGAGGTCCAGCAAGATAATCCAGCTCTCCAGTGGCAAAGAGTTAAAAGTGATCCAGGGAAGTGAAGCAGGAGACTCGGGGCTGCCCCGGGTGGAAGTGATACTCGACTGCTTGGACAAGCAGAAGACGGACGGGTGCAGGCTTCAGGCAGGAAAGGGGTGTGTGGATTCTCCAGTAGAAGGAGGGCAGTCAGAAGCACCTCCTTCTCTGGTATCCTTTGCAGTCTCATCAGAAGGCACAGAGCAGGGAGAAGATCCACGCTCGGAAAGGGATCACAGCCGACCTCACAAGCACCGAGCGCGCCACGCACGTAAGTCCTGCCCAGGGGCCCCGCTGGGCTACTGGAAGGGCCCTGGGAGCTTAGGGCATTTTGCTGCTACTTCACTTACATGGATTTTTTTTTTCTTTTTAAGATTTTTCTTATGTCTCTCTCTGTGGTTAAAAAAAATTTTTTTTTATTAATGCACAGAATAACAAATGGGAAATTGTGGAGAACACCAATTTCTGAAATGGAGGAGGCAATAATTTGGAAGTTTGTCATAGATTTAAATGTATTTAAGGCACTTTCTTTTACCCCCAAAGGGCCAGGAGCTGTTCAAGGAAATAATGTTGTTAACGCGTCTCTTTGATTTGTCTCAAAATGTTGTAAGATTTCAGGTACAATAGCAGAGGGGAGTATCTGAAGTCAGGTGGACTCGGAATTTAAATGTCAAAAATAGTTGAGTCTGCTGCTGAGTGGTGTATTGAAAATACAGGCTCCACCACTGATATTAAAAGCAGATCCTCATTTTGAAAAAAAAAATCGTCGTGCAGCTTGATGATGCTTGCAGAAGTGAGTTTGACAGACAAGGACATGTGGCATACTGAGCAGTTACATGATCCTCTCCGTTTTGTATGTCTTCACTCGACTGCAAAGAATTTCATCTACCTTCTAGACACACAAGTCAGTCTCCCGGGCCCCGTGGAGGCATTTAAATGTCCCCAAATGTAAAATATATTTAAATTCAAGGCTGTCTACGGTATTTTGTTTTACCCAAGGGACTGATTACAGAAAGGAGAATGAAAATAAGAGTGTCAGTTAGGTTTTATGATTTTTGTTATTTTCTTCTCTCTCTTTTTCTTTTTTTTTAAACAAATTTTAGAATTTCATTTGTGGAGGTAAAGGCTGACTAGCAAAAGCACTTGAAGGTATGAATGATACGCAATGGTAATGAACTCAGTTATTCAAAGTACTATATTAAATCTTCTAACCTCTCATTATTCCCTTCCAAGCATATCTTTAGCATAACCATTTGTAGCTTTATTGGCAAGTGCTGTTAATCGTCCTTAGACTTGAAGCATCACATTTATGGCATATTAAACAAGTGTGTTAAGGCATCCCTCCCATACTTTACATGTTGGCAGTGAAGTGAGAAACAACTGTGCAACTGTGACTGTCAATTTAATAGGAAATTGTATAACACTGGTCAAAAAAAGGAGTTACATTTAGTAATGATTACGTATTTTACTGTTTTCTCTAAATAAAATTCGATTGCCAGGAAATATCTGTAACTTTGTCAGAAAACTATTCACTCTGATTCTATTTTATTTTTTAAAAAAACGAATCATGAAGTCTGATTTTTTCCAGGGACAAAGAAAAAAAAAAACACCTAATTTCCAATCATAAAATATTCAAAAAGTTTTTCTGAAATTTCCACTGAACTATTTTGAAGAATTCGAAACTTGCTTGTGAATCATGCTCATTATCGTTAAACACATGATGACAATTAACTGATGCTATACATTAGTTTGCCACCAATTTATTTTGTATAACAGTAATGAGAAAATAAAAAATTTAAGTATAAATGTTTGTTACTTTAAAACTGTCAAACTCTCATTTTAAATGACTGAATTTCTGCATCAGCTTTTACCCACAATTAAGAGGGTCACTAGTCACATAATTTTTAAATTTCCTTAAGATTTATGCTTATTCTTGCTGCGACTGAAGCAGTGTTATATTTCCAAAATAGCAATCCATTTCAAACAAATTTATCTAGACAGCTTTAATAGCTTGAATTTCTTACATGTATTCACAATGATCCCGTGTTCCAAATCATTAGCAATTATTGATTCAGTGCCTTCAATTATTATTCATTTAATTTTTTGAATTTATATTAATCCAGTCACCATGAATACAAGGACTCTGGGGAGATGTCAGAGTTTTAAAAAAAGAAGAAGAAGAAGAAGAAGAAAACTTAAATATTTAAATTCATTACACTGAAACACTTTGAAATAACAGTTTCTTGCCCTACCCACTCCCACTTTTTAAAAAAATGCTTGGAGACAGTTTTATATTGACATTTTATTTTTTAAATACGGAAGTACAAAGTATGTCTCACCTTGTTTTTCAGAATATATTATGTCCTTAAATTGTTTCCTTTTTAGTTTTGATTACATCCTATTGACTCACATTTAGTAGCCAGCATTTATTGTCAAAGTAGAAAGATCCATATGCTGCATATATTCTAATCACCATACAGAAAGATGTATTTATATGAGCAAGTGAAACAGACCATTGTGCAGAGTTATATATTTCATTGTATACCATCATAAAAGTATACATTTTAAAAGAAATAAGAGAGAGAAATGAGTTAGATTGCTTCAAAATTCAGCAGCCAATTGTAAGCATGTTTTTCCATATCTACTTTCTCCCAGGAGAGTTGATTTCTGGGTTGCTATGAGGTCTTCTTGGAATTCATCAACTCACTTTAATTTTTGTACTTTCCCTAGGGCTCAGGAGGAGTGAAAGCCTATCAGAAAAGCAGGTGAAAGAAGCAAAATCTAAATGCAAAAGCATTGCCCTCCTTCTTACAGATGCCCCCAACCCCAACTCCAAAGGGGTGTTGATGTTTAAGAAGCGTCGCAGGCGGGCCAAGAAATACACCCTAGTCAGCTACGGCACTGGCGAACTTGAGCGGGAGGCAGACGAGGGGGAGGAAGGTGACAAAGAGGATACCTGTGAAGTAGCCTTCCTGGGCACGAGTGAATCAGAGGTGGATGAAGAGTTATTGTCTGACATTGACGACAGCGCACAAGTTGTGAACTTTGACTGGGATTCCGGACTAGTGGACATCGAGAAGAAACTGAACAGAGGAGACAAGATGGAGATGTTGCCAGACACCTCAGGCAAGGGCGCCCTCATGTTTGCCAAGAGGAGGGAACGAATGGATCAGATCGCAGCCCAAAAAGAGGAGGAGAGGGTGGGTGGAGTGCGAAGCAGAGAACCCGATGCTGCACAGTCGGAGGGCCTGAGAACCATGGCTTCTTACCAAAGGAAGGAGGAAGAATCTGTAAGAGTGCAGAGCTCTGTGAGCAGAAGCTACATCGAGGTGAGCCATGGTCATGGCCATGTGCCCCAACAGAACGGCTTCAGTGGGGTGTCCGAAACAGCAGAGGCCCAGAGGATGATCCCTATGAACAGAACAGCCAAACCCTTCCCGGGGTCTGTGAACCAGCCAGCGACCCCCTTCTCCCCAACCCGAAACATGGCAAGTCCCATGGCAGACTTTCCGGCGCCTCCACCTTACTCTGCAGTCACACCTCCACCTGAAGCCTTCTCCAGAGCGGTATCAAGTCCGGTAGCTGGCCCGGCACAGCCTCCTCCGTGGCCCCAGCCTGCCCCCTGGTCCCAGCCAGCCTTTTACGACTCATCTGAGCGAATAGCCTCCCGGGATGAAAGGATCGCTGTGCCGGCAAAAAGAACAGGAATATTGCAGGAGGCCAAAAGGAGAAGCACGACGAAGCCCATGTTCACTTTTAAAGAGCCCAAAGTAAGCCCAAATCCTGAACTCTTGTCACTTCTTCAAAATTCGGAAGGCAAAAAGGGCGCCGGAGCCGGAGGCGATTCCGGACCCGAAGAAGACTACCTCAGTTTAGGAGCAGAGGCTTGTAATTTCATGCAGAGCTCCTCCGCAAAACAAAAGACTCCGCCTCCTGTTGCTCCGAAACCCGCAGTCAAGTCCTCGTCCTCCCAACCAGGAACTCCAGTGTCTCTGGTCTGGTCCCCAGGCGTGCCTCCGACCCAACCTCCTGCCTTCCCCACGTCCAACCCGTCGCAGGGCACCGGTGTCTCCTCCATCAAAATAGCCCAGCCTGCCCGCGCTCCTGCCCGGCCCGCGAGCGCTCTGACCCTGGCTGGTCCCTTCAAAGGACCACAACCAGCAGTAGCCAGTCCCAGCTACACACCTAAGCCAGCGGCTCCCACAGCAACAGTGAACGCGGCTCATGCTGGTGCCCTGGGACCATCCAATGAGCTTCCAGGAATGAGTGGGAAAGGAGCCCAGCTCTTTGCGAAAAGGCAGTCGAGGATGGAGAAGTATGTGGTCGATTCAGAAACGGTGCAGGCCCATGCTGCTCGCGCCCAGTCTCCCACTCCGTCCCTACCGGCCGGCTGGAAGTACTCCTCCAACGTCCGCGCACCTCCTCCTGTGGCCTACAATCCTATCCACTCCCCCTCCTACCCTCTGGCTGCTCTGAAGTCTCAGTCTTCAGCCCCACAGGCCTCCAAGACAAGCAAGAAAAAGGGCAAAAAACCCCTCAATGCTTTGGACGTCATGAAGCACCAACCGTATCAGCTAAACGCATCCTTGTTTACTTTCCAACCTCCAGATGCAAAGGATGACCTCCTCCAGAAGTCGTCCGCCAAGGTCAGTCCGGTGCCAGCCATGAAGCAAGCTCTTCCTCCCTGGCCCGTGAATGCTGCCTCGCCCACTACAGCGCAGGCCTCCTCTGTGTACTCGGTGCCCGCATACAGCTCTCCGTCTGCGTTCTTTGCAGAGGCCACCTCACCGGTCAGCGCATCCCCAGTGCCCATGGGCATTGCCACCTCTTCCAAGCAAGAATCAGCCGCTACGTCTTACTTTGTGGCACCGAGGCCGAAGTTCTCAGCCAAGAGAAGTGGTGTTCCAGTTCAGGTGTGGAAACCATCTATCGCGGAAGAGTAATCTTGTAGCCGAAGCTGAGTGTCCACTTTGCTTGAAACAAGTTGTTTGCAGTGTTACTTGAGTCCCCGAGAATGCCTAGCAAGTCCTCAACTTACTTAATTTCAGATGTCACTTCCCAATCTGGGTCCAAGGAGCATACTATTTTTAATGGGTCAAAAATCTAACTCAGATTGACTTAAAACATATTTATCTCCTTTGCACACTTAAGAAATATGGGAGCACCCCAATATAGACATGTGCCATTATATTAAGTAAGCAGGATGCTTAGGATTTGTGCTTTAGTCACAAGAAAGACAGTGATCGGTGTTAGCACACATTGCACACAGCCTTTACGTAGCATAACAGCTATGCTTCTATGGTGAAAAGGGTCAAATGTAGTGAAAATATAACACGTATTGACGGAGATTTCCTTTTTAGGTAGTGCTTTATCTCTATTACTAGTGGTAAGGGATAAGAAATTTATTGAGGACAGGGATCAGCTCTGGTCTGTCAACCTCAGCCACCTGTTTGATGTCGCAGAGGAGGTGCTCTGGGGATTGTTGAAATGTACATAGTTTAATCAGAAGGGTGAGGAAGAAGGTGTCAGTGATTACTGAGCACTTACTATGTATTAGGTTTTCTATGTATTAACTCATTTCAGAAGACTTCCTTAAAGTAAATGAGATAGGGCAAAAAGGATAATTATCCTTAGAGATGGATTTCCATTTTCTCTTCCCAGTTGCTTAAGAAACGAAGTGAGCGAATCTCCAATTGCCCATGAAAGTGTAAGTTTGTGTTCTTCAGCCGAGGCAAGTGGTAGAGTACAGTATAAAGTAATAATGTGAAAGGGGGTGAGCAGGCTGCAGATAAAGGTACATAAGACTATTCTTTTCCCTTGGGAAAGCACGCGATTGAGGCATGAAGGGTTACCGACTACAGGGGCTGATTGTGAAGCACGAGGAACCCCATGTGTGCGGAGGCTGTAGGGTGAGAACACACAATGATTAGCATCATTTCTGAGTGACCTCACAGATTGTTTTCCTTGTGTTTGTTTTGCTTCCTGGCCACTGCTTCTCCCACTGTTCCTTGCAATTCTATTCTCGCACCTTCACTTTGTAATTTATATTTGATGGACCAGGAGGATTCAGGCAAGGTTACCTTGTAAATTTGGATTGGTCACACACCATGCCGTCATCCAGCTGCCTATGAAGTTAATAATGTTGCTGACGGTAAACCTGAAGACCTTCCTCGTATCTATTTTAAGTCCAAGTCTGACCAACCATGGAAAATATTCAACAGGAATTAATGTAGAGAGCCACAAAGCGTTTTTGACAGCTCCGAGGAAAACCATCTACTCAATACAGGAGATATGTTTAGAGACCTCTTATAAAAACTTGCCAGCTTTGAGGGTACATGGTACCATTTTAATCCTCTAAAAATGTCTGTATTCCTGTTCTTTTACTGCTCTCACTGTCAACCTGCTATTTTTCACTATCCTATTAAAATATCACTTCCTTCTTTATCTGTTGATTGTACGTATTTTTAAAAATAATCTTCCCTGTAAGACTGTTCTGACCTAAGTCATTTCTCTGATATTTCTCTTCTGTTGCTCCCCCAAACCTCTGAATTTCCTTTTGTGAGCGTATTCATTTGTCTGTACATTGTAAAACTCTAGGACAGAACGCACAAAAAGAATTAAGTCAGCTACAGGACAATGGAGCTGTTTCTTTTGCTTTTTTTCTGGAAAATCTTCCATTGCCTTTTGGTGGCAGTTTACCTAGAGGTTACAACCACAGGATGCAGCTAGGTCCCTCATTTGCTTTTTTTGGAAATCAATTAGGAAGATTAATACAGGGTAAAGGAAAAAGCAATCTATCCATTATATAACACTATTGTTTGGATTACTTGCTCCCTGCAAAGGAAGTCTGTTAAATGCTGTGCATTTTGCATTCTTTTCTAATAGGACAACCAAAAAAGGTTTCATAAGGTGAAGCAGGAAAGGAGATCATTTTTATAACTTTGCATTCTTGACATAGCATTTAAAGAATGAAGTATGAAGTAGAGGAAAGATCATGGAACACAGGGTAGTTAATTTGAGATCACCAGTTCAAATGTAGCCTGGGCTGGTAATGACCCACAAGTATTCCCAGTTGTCCAGGGGTTTGTGGTATGTAGGAATGAGAAGTGTTTTCAGTCCATTTCCTGTAGGACAGGTGGCAATCTTAGCAGAGCCACTATTTGGAGTTGATGACTAAATACACCACTAGCCTAACTGGGAGTGTCATAGGGTGCCCAAAAACGCTTCTAAGAAACATGCCAGGCATGCAATCAAAGTATCCACAACCTCTACCGGGAACTGGAAGCATAGGTCTCATCTTGAATCGTATGGTCCTACATTATGGAGGAGGGGTGGAATCCTCCCGAACTATATCTGTGACAGAGTGTAACCACTGTGACAGAGTATAACCACACTGTGAGGCTGGGGGAAAGAAAAGGCCTGAGCCAGCACCCTGGAGTAAGAGGGATTCCCTTTGCCTCTTCTCCTCAACCAGAGAGCCTCCTGGGAACTTGCATGCAAAATAAGCTGTATGTACCACCTTTCAGGTTGGAATTATGGGAATGATATTAGTGTGGCAGGTGGGAGACTTAGAATTCATGACCTCAGCTTCCCGCCCACTGAGCACCCTTTGCAATCTGGGTGTTGTTCGCTTTGTTGTGGTAGCAGATGTTTGACTGGTTGCTTGTGGGGTATGAGGAGGCAGGTTTGGTTTAGTTTTAGCACCTTGCCTTTTCCCTTGTCCTTTGTCAGCTTAGTTTCTAGGCAGAGCACCGATGAAGTCAAGTTTTCATCATCAACACCATAGCAATGATCATTTACTGAGTGCCTGTGTTATGTTTGGTGCCTTATGTACCTTATCCCAAGGAATCCACTGCATGGTTTACAGGCACTGGGATATAAAATAAAATGTAGTCACAGTCACTGACTTGTTGCAGGATCTCATTCAATTTTTTTCCCATGAGTTTCCCCTTAACAATTTCTCAAACCTCTCTTCCTGGACCATTGTGCCATGATGAACATACACAACACTAGATATTCTAGGAAGAGAGGCGTATGTAAATCGAAATACAGCATAAGCCTCTCAGTCTTGTTAGGAGAATAGACTGAATCACAGAACTGGTAAGACTGGGAATCTGAGCATTGACACTTCAATCTTAAAACATTTATGATTTTGTTTCTAATATTTTGATAAAAACACATTCTGTTTTGAGAGAGGAAGAATCACACTGTTTCTGCATTTTGACTATTCATTGGTAGCATAAAGCCTAACTTTTTAGGCATGTATTTTATAAGACACATTTGGGTTGTCATTCTGGAGCATGTAAAAGTTTGTACTTCAAAATATATCTAGCATGATTGTTAATGGTAACATGTATCTCATTTAATCTGCACAAGAAGCAACTCATTTAACTATAGGAAAACTGATCCAAGTTACACATAGTTCTTTCAAGCAAGTCAGGGTTCTTTAATTCTTCTAGATCGTGCCAACCCCTTTCTAGAAGAGGGCTTCTTCATAAGGCAGCTGAGTATTATCACACAGCCTGAATTCTAGCTTGGCAGTGAGAGTCACATCTGAGATGTCAAAAACAAATGGGGTGTGGACTAGCAAACTTGGGACCACTGTCCTATTTACAGCTACTAGGTTAAAGAACTTTGAAGGTCATTGTGCTGCTGACAGGCATATCAAACACTGACACTCTGTTGGCACTTTCAGCCTCTTAAGAGCCCAAGAAGACACAGGACTGTTAGTGTCTGAGTGTGGATTTAACCTTTCAGACAAAAGCCCTTGCTGTGTATCATTTTATCCAGTTATAAAGTTGAGAAGCTGCAAGCGCCCATATACTAAGGGTAAGTTCCTGAAATCCAGTGCTGTTTTATGAGTCACAACCGGCCCAGCAGGAAGGCTGTTTGAAGTCATGGTTATCAACAAGAAGTGATTGTTTTCTGAAAAGCTAAATGCTTAAAATGCTTCAAAGGGAAGCAGTGGGCAGCAAGGGTGCTCATTCCCTCCTAAAATCAGAGTTGTTGAGTTTGTTTTAAAGATTGCTAAGAGTTCATGAGAAAAATACATAAATTCTAAGAACCAACATTATATTCCCAGACACACTGACCCTCACTGGTCTCATGTCCCCTTATCACTGGACTCTGGGGGACACAAAGACTCATGTAACACTTCAGTACTACTAAGTTCGTCAACAAGTATTCTGGGAAAAAGCAGAATTGAATTCTTCTCTAGACTTCCCACCAGGGTTGGCCAAAGGCCATAAAGCAAACTCACAAATTCCCACAGGACCCAAACACCAGGCAAAATCACTAAAAGAGGCCAGTCTCCGTTTCTTCCTCTACGGTTAAAAAAAAAAAGTATGAAAATTATAGTCTATCCTATGGAGCAACAGGCCAATAAAAATCAGTCTTCTGGAAGAGCCCTCAAATCAGACTTATTCTTTCCTTAACATTATCACGTACAGCCAGTTTATTAAATTTTCAAAAAATTAATATGTTTCTATGGTATGTATATCTGCACACTAAATTACCTCTTGGCACTTGGAAATCACCGAGCTTATTGCTCAGAGGCAATTGAGTGAAGAAAAAATTAATTTGAAAATATCAAATCCTGTCAGACATTTCTCAGACTCCTGATTTTATATAAGGTTTGCTAGCTAATAAAGTATATCTCAAGTATAAAGAAAGTTAGGCTTATTACGGGGTCCTATAGTTTAAGTCATTTTTTGTTATTGATACATAGAATTTCTTTTACCCCTGTTACCTCATTCTTGGCATGTTTATCTAAATTATGTGTGTTTTTTGATTAGTGAAGTACACATTCAGGGTCCCTAATAAAAGTGGTCCCAAGGACCTACTTTCCAGCCTGCCTTCCTTCCTCTACCTGATAACACTAATAATATCCAGAATAATAACATTCGTATGTGCC